CACACACACACACATATATATATATATATATATATATATATATATATATATTATAAAATAAAAAAACTAGTTATATATAATCATGCAATATATATATATATATAAATATAAATTATTTAATTTTTATTAATGTTTAAATTATATATATTTTAAATAAATTATATGCTTTTTTTATTCAATGAAAAAGTAGTCAACTATATGTTTTATGTAATTTATAATATTTATATAATCAATCGATCAAAGAATTGAACTAATTTTTCATTTCTCTATTTTACTAACAATCTCTCATACCTCGTATTCTCTTTTTTCTGAAGAAACTGCTTAAAACATCTAAGCCTGTACAGAGAAGTTATGTTCCCAAGTTGGGAAAAGAAGATGTGAAGAATAAGTTTGAGGCCATGCAGAAAGCTAGAGAAGAGAGAAGCCAAAAGAGAAGTCAGGAGGAGCAAAAGAAACGCAGAGAGCAGTACGTTAAAGAGAGAGAGTATATTCGCAAGAAGCAAATGGTCAGTAGAGAAACTTGCCCATCAGCATCTTGTTTTGTCACTTCATCTACTGACTGCCCTGCCTCATCTCTCTGACACTAACAACGCATAGTAGGAGATTTTGACTTGAGGTTAATGAAGATACTGCTTGCTGGTTCTGCAGTGTTTGCATAAGATTTGGCATGCATCAATACCTGATTTCAGGATGTACACAAAACTTCTTATAAAAAAGCCTTTAATTAGTAAAACACCCCAGTATCTGTGATGCCTTCTTGCTGCATGCACACTCTACTGATCCCCTGCTCATGTCACGATTGATGGCCCAATCAGCATCCGCCCCTGTAGGTCATACGTGCCTGTCTTACAAGGATTAAGGTCTGCTTGGCTTGCTACGACCAGCATGGTTTCTGATCCTGGATAAAACGGCTAACCCCACAACAACTGTCGGATCCTCCACAGATAAAGGAACTCCTCACCTCTAGTGATGAAGAGGAAGAGGTGAAGCCGACGAAGATAGAAAAATCATATGTTCCCAAAATTACAGGTAGGGTGAAATGAGAAAAACGGAGGGATATGGAATATTCGTTTTAGGACTGATCCAACGTAATTGTTGTAACAGCATTTTAATCCCCTTATAGATGCCAACTGTTGGCTTTCTGTCCATTCACAGGCAGTGTGAAGGGGAAGTTTGCAGAGATGGAGAAACAAAGGCAGGAGGAGGAGCGGAAAAGAACAGAAGAGGAGAGAAAGAAGCGCGCTGCACAGGAGGCCATAGAGAAGGCCAAGATTCAGAAAGAGCTGGCCAAGAAAGCCCAGGAGGTGAGTCAGTGTGTCATGATAACAGGCTGTGGCTACAGCAGGATGCTTTTAATGCGACTTTGGCAGTCGGCTGCTTTGTCAGGTCTACTATTAGAAAATCTCCACCAAAGTATCTGTAATCACTCAGGTAATCCTCTGATGCAATGTAAAGTACTATTTTAAAACCTAGCAATATATTAAAGTGAAATCAAATCAAGGAATGGATTTACAGTATAGAACAATGTCACATCACAATAGAAATTGCAGTGACAGGCAACGTAAGACTCATAACCAACAAAAGTTAAACATTATTAATATAGTGGATTCATAAACGTTTGAGTTGAATTAAATATATATTTTTAAAATAATTATATAATTTTATTTTATGTATTTCTTTATTTTTATTTTTATTGTTTAAATACTGTATATAAATATAAAATAAATTTGTATTCATAAAATGGCCCACCGTTAAAAATCACACAAACAAACACTTCTTTTCAAGTGAGATTTAAAAAAAAATACTTTAACTTTACAATAAGTTCTCATTTGTAAACTTTAGTTAATGTGTTAACTAACATGAACTAACAATGAGCAATGTCTTTTTAACAGCATTTATTTTAATTAATTTTAATTATATTAATAAAGTTTATTAAATATATTCTGTAGTTCAGTCATGAAACTCTAGATGGCGCAGGTGACGGGTTGTTAACGTAACCGATGATATTCAGAGAGTTAAACGTGCAGCAGCAGCAGCAGCAGCAATAATCTACAACTATAGCAATAACCAACAGCAGCAGCAATTCAGCAGCAGCGTAGTAGATCTGTTTCGCCAAGACCAAATACATTAACATTGTCATATCCATCACCATGCTAAAATGTTCCGAGAGTTGTCATGATTGAACTAATGTTAACAGATACAGTACAACATTTAAATGTTAAATATATTTAAAGATCTTAAATATGTATTAGTAAATGTTGAGATTAACATTAATTAATACTGTAGAAGCATTGTTCATTGTTGGCTCATGTTAGCTAATGTAGTTAACTAATGTTAACAAATGAAACCTTACTGTAAAGTGTTATCGTAATAAGTTTATTCAGCAAGGCCGCATTCAACTGATCAAAAGTGACAGTAACAACATATACAATGTTACAAAAGATGTCTATGACCACTGAAATTTCAGCTTTGCCACTGCAGAAATAAACTACATTTTTAAATATACTCAAATAGAAAACAGCTATTTTAAATTGTAAAAATATTTCACAGTATTACTCTTTTTACTGTGTTTTGATCAAATAAATGCAGCCTTGGTGAGCAGAAGAGACATTTCAAAAACATTTAAAAAAAATCTTACCAAATATTTGAACGGTAGTGTATAATATAGAAACTGTGAAATGAAATGTAAAATGTGTGCAGTGATGCCCAAATGACCCACTGTCTATACTTACTGTAGCCAGAATTAATGAGCATGTGACTGCCAACTGTTTCCCACACCACTTGTAGGCCATGCTCTCTGACTGAATTAGCAATCCCATATCTCTGTCTAGTATGACACAAATGAAGGCAACTGTGCCAGAAGAATGTCCCCTGCTGTCAGACCTTATCTGAAACCTGTCTGGATGCTTGTCCATGACTGCAGAAATGTTGCAGGTCAAAGCAGTATAAATGAAAAAAATAATTTGTTATTGCTTCAGATTAGACCTCACATTTGTTTCTGATTTTCAAAAATATTTAACAAAACAGGAAGACATTTCATCACACCTTTGTAATTCCAGTGATAAAACTGCTATTTTATCTGTTTGGGTTTCTTCTTCACGTCTTCTTCATGACAGGAAGGTGATGACAGTCTGCTGGTACGAGTGGTGCCTGCAAAATCACAAACACAACCGGGAAAGATCAAGATGAAGTTTGAGGACTTGGAGAAGAGCAGAGAAGAGGAACTAAAGAAGCGAACTGAGGAGGAAAAGAAGAAGAGATACGATGAAAACCGCCGGTCGTTCCGAGAGGCCAAGCGTCGCTCAATGATTGAACAGGTGAACAATCTGTTTTTAAAGATGAATGCCATCTGTACTAGAAAGAGTTTTGCTAACTTTGGCAAAATTTAAAAAATAAACGTTTGACTAAAAAAGTTTCTATCTTCAAAAAAGCTGGACGATGCAGAGTCTACTCCCAAGGAGAAGGAGCAGGTGACCCCAGGTAAACTGCATCTGACCTTTGAAGAACAGGAAAAGGAGCGACAGGAGCAGCAGAGAAAACAGGCAGAGGAGGAGGCCCGACGCAAACTGCAGGAGGAAAGAAAAGCTTTTGAAGAGGCCAAGCTGGGCATGGTGAGTATATTTTCCACAACCAGCAGATATATTGGTTTACATATACAAAATATAGAGTGGACACTTTTTTACTATTCAGGCACTTGAAGTTTATCCAAAACTGAAAATTGACTAAAGATGTACTCACCTTCAGGCCATTCAGAAAGTACTGTGAATGAGTTTGTTTCTTTATCGCAAGAAATTTGGAGAAATGTAGAATCATCGTCAGAATGAGTCCAAACAGCTGATAAAAACATCACAATAATACATAAGTAATCCACACAACTACATAATATTTAATAGACACAAACTGCTCACTATTATTACAAAAGGTCATAGAAAACATGTACAACATGTCTGGCTTGAAATATAACAGCTACAATCTAAAATCAGACAGTGAAAAGGATTTGCTGACTTGGCACAGTTGGACATGTAAGTTGGAAGCCAGATAAAACTCTTGACTGTTGACTAACTAATTTTCCCCAAACCTAATATATTGATTTGCAGGTTGTAAATAGTGATGATGACATCCTGCTGGCCATGATAAACTCAGATGGGGCCAAACCCGGGAAGTTGGCCATCAGCTTTGAGGATTTGGAAAAACAGAGACGAGAAGAAGAGCAGAAAAGGAAAGAGGAGGAAGCCAAGCGACGCCTGGAAGAGGAGAAAAGACTTTTCGCAGAAGCTCGCAAGAATATGGTAGGACCATGGATGAGATTAAACATAATGTAGTTGCACATGAACAGTCCGTTTGCATGCATTAATGTATGTTATATGAACAAAACAAATCAACAACAAAAAGTCCATTAATGGGCTTATATTTAACATTCTTGTGACAGGTGCAGGATGATGATGAAACTCTGGTGAGGACAGAGTCACAGGAAGCAATGCACCCAGGGAAACTAGAAATCAACTTTGAAGAGATGCTGAAAATGAAAGAGGAGGCAGAACGAAAACGCAAGGACGAGGCCAAACGTCAAAAAATGGAGATGGAGAAGAAAGAGTTTGAACAGTTGCGACAAGAGATGGGCGAGGTCAGCTGTGCCAATATAATGATCATTACACTTACAATTTCAATACGCTTCAAATATTTACATATGTTTTGTGGGTTTGATTCAGGATGAGATCAATGAAAGCTCTGAGGTGGTGAGCACCGAGTACGAGGAACTAACAAAGCTGAAGCGAACCGGCTCCATCCAGGCCAAAACCCTGAAATCTAAGTTTGAGAAGATCAAGCAGCTCACAGAGGAGGAGATCCAGAAGAAGATCGATGAGGAACGGGCAAGAAGGAAAGAAATTGATGAGAAAATCAAGGAGAGAGAGGCAGAGCGCTGTCAGGAGGTAAAAGAATGAGGGAATTTCTCATATTTTCATTCCAGCTCAAGAACTTTGAAATGAGGAATTTTGCTCATTTCTTTCACAGGATGAAGATGAGGACAAAACAACTCCAGCTAAAGCAGAGGACGTCCCGTTCAGACAGAAAGTGGACATGCGTGCGCGATTCGAACAAATGGCCAAGGCCAGAGAAGATGAGCAGAAGAGAAAGATCGAAGAGCAGAAATTACAGAGGATGCAATTTGAACAACAGGAAATTGACGCTGCTCTCCAAAAAGTAAACCTCTCCTGGGCTGCTTTGTTTAAGAGCTAAATGGTGGACCGACCTCAACACTAATGCGTGACAGAGCTGCATGCATGTGATTTCTGTTGTTTTGCTGTGTTTTCCGAGTGTGAAACACTTTGTCATGTGTCTTGTTAGAAAAGGGAAGAAGAGGAGGAGGAAGAGGGTAGCATCATTAACGGCTCAGCCGCCTATGAGGATGAAGAGGACCACGCCAGGTCGGGCGCTCCGTGGTTTAAAAAGCCCCTGAAGAACCAGTCGGTGGTCGACGCAGAGCCTGTGCGGTTCACAGTGAAGATAACAGGAGAACCCAAACCAGAGATCACCTGGTGGTTTGAGGGTGAGCTGCTGCCGGACTCTGAAGATTACCAGTACATTGAGAGAGGCGAGACCTACTGCTTGTACTTGCCAGAAACGTTCCCCGAGGACGAAGGAGAGTACATGTGCAAAGCCGTCAACAGCCGAGGAACTGCCGCCAGCACCTGCATTCTCACGATTGAAAGTAAGCCGCCCTCCGTCTCCACTAACCACCTGCATGCTGAGATTTCTTATGGCGTCACTAACCTCGAACGGACTGCACGCTCCGCTTCCACTCGGTTCTTCTTCTTCTTGTTAATCTGTGTCTCTCTGTCTCCTTGTCTTTCTCTTTCCAGCTGAGGACTACTGATGCTCTCCTTCTCTGGAACTTTCCCAGACTTTTATTATTTTCTTTTTGATAAAAGTTAATTTCTGAAGGTAGAGCCAAAAACCGAGGAGGAAGGAGCGATATTTATCTCTCGTTTTTTTCTTTTTGCCTTTCCTCCTGAAGATATGCTCAATGATGAAGTGCAATCTGTTGTTTACATTAGATGCTGCACTCGTGGTTAACAAAACAACAAAATAAATCCATATTTGGGATGCATTTGTGCCAAAACACAGATACTATTCCCATGATCTTCTAGCATAAATACATAGCGTAGCTGAAAAGAAATTCAGTTAATTAAATACAGTTGAGTATATTCAAAACATACCCACTATGTCACTGAGGAAGGATTTCATGCTCATGTAATCGAATGAATGAGACGTTACTTGAGAGTTTTATTCAGTATCTGTAAAGGGGCTGTGGTTGCATTTCCTTTGTTAAATTCCTATAAGCACCTCTGTTCAGACTCAGATTGTTTTTCCACATTGTGATCTGAGTATTTAAAGTTTTGAATAAAAATGTACACATAGAGCTTTCATAACGCCAGATGTTTCTATGTTAAAGTGTAGTGAGTAAGTGAAATGTATGGACAGTGTATGTAGGTTAGCAAGAGGTGATTTTAGGTTTTAGGCAGGATATTTGTGTAATGTACAAAATTATAATAAAATTCATGACACTGAAGTGATGTTGTCTGTTTTATGAACTAACACCTTTATTTATATGATAATATAAATGATACATGATTTTAATGATAATGATAATATAAATTATATATGATTTTAAATAAAGTCATTAGTTGCAGACGTGGCCTGATGGAATCATCTGATTACAGATTCAAATAATATAAAAGGCATGATTGTCTGTAAATATGCTATTTTTTTTAGTTATTAGTTATTGCTCATTTGAATTTGAATGTAAGTATAAAGAAAATGAATTAAAATTTAACAAAAAACATACTTTTAACTAGAAAAGCAATGCTTCTTAAGACATGTTAGCTTGCCCAAAATAATAAAAGAAAAATTATCAAGTCTTTTAAAAGCTTGAAGGCCCCAAATGACAGAACAGTCGACAAAACATAAAATAAAAATAGAACATTTGCAATAGACAAAGCTTATGAAATGTGCTTGGCAGATCATTTTTCCCTTCTCATAACAGACCACTCTTATCGAGCAGCTCAAATTGACATATATTTGATTTTAAGTGAACAAACAAGACTTCTTTACTCATTTGAGCCCTTTCTGCTAGACATTTTCAGTGTATTTTCATAAATTTGACCATATCTGACACAACTTTCCTTTTCAGAATGCTACTCTGAACATTTTCCGATTAAGTAGGTCACTTAACATTAAGATAGAGGCGTCTTGATGGTTTATTATTCTAAATTATTAATATAAAAAGCAGTCCTCTCCATACCTGCCACCTAAACAGAATACTCTCCAACCAGAATACTACAAACTTGTATTTTGTACTCGCTTGTGCCAACACAAACGCGTCAAAACAATTTTTTTGCAAACTGTAACAGTAACGTTAATACATGTTGCATCCGCAGGGAGGCGCAGCTGTGTCATTAATCCACGCACACGCTATCAAAAACTGTCTGCTGGTAACTATAGCAACAACAAGGCAAAAAGCTAGACCGGTAGTTAGCAAGGCTCTGCAGCTATCCTTATCTCATTTATCCCCCGGTCAATTCACAAAACATTTAAATACCGTGCTGAAAATGCAGTAGCTTCGTGTAGATGAACATATGACTTATGCCGACCAAACAGTATTCGATGTGTGTGTGAAAAGTTTGGGGCTGTTTACATCGAACTAGCCAACTTGCTATCTTGTTCCCATATTTAACGTTACCGCTGTTATTGTGATCTATGATGGGAAAAGATGTGGAGGAAGTCTCCGCGTCTCTAGTACGGGAATATCTCAGTCGAAAGGTGGGTGACAGATCAGTTTCATTCAGTTTATTCTATTTGGAAGGCTTGCTAGTTACCATGCATGCTAACTATCCTGTACTACCACTCAAAGCAGCATTTTAGGTGATCTTTAAATATATTTACTTATATATATCGGATATATAAATATCGGATATACATATCGTGTGTTTGAAAGGTAGATTTCTTCTGTAAATGTAAAAATGAAAAAGAAATCGCTCTGGTTGGAAGATGAAATGTACTTGCAGGGCCTGAAGAAAACCATAGCTTGCATGGATGAAGAGCTTCCCCGAACTAATTCAAGCATTAATAACAGATCAGATCTACGCAGAATACTTCACCTTGAGGGCCTTTACAAACAGAATAAGGTATCAAAGTGATCAACACCTGTATTTAAAATATAAAGAATGTCGAAAAAGTAGAGAGGCCATCAAAATGCATTTGTATTTAGGCTGAAGAACATCCTTTGAAGTCAATGTTGGAGATGATCGTGAAGGACAGAATGAGTGAAGGTGGCAAAACCAAAGGATGCCGACATGGTGACAATCAAGCACATCCATTGGAACAAACCATATCCAGTTCTTCCATAGACATGACTGGGAATGTTAAGAGAGAGGAAGATTGTATGGAAAATCTGTTGGGTGACAGTCCAAGGTATTTATTTATTTACAAAAATCCAGTGGATTCGTTTGTTTGAGACTTTCGAGATCTGTTGACAGTAATAAACATTACACCTTTTACATAGGTTATCTGAAAGCAGTGTGTCACAAGTTATTGTGCCTTCCCAAACACCTTCTGAAATCACGCACAAGAGCTTTGCTGTTCACCCTGAGAGTGAGAGAAGTGTGTACTGTTTGAAAGAGGGATTTCCCTCTGAGAAAAAGGTCATAGACACTGACAGCCAGAAGAACAGAAGCAGCAGGATAAGACGGGGCATTATGGCAGGTCCCATTGCCAGCTCCTCACAGGTGATGAATGTTGTTAATGAAGTTAAAATTAATTCATTAAATATTAAAATACAGCATTAAGAATTAATAACGTTTCCTATGTATTTAATTTATTTACTAAGATTTTATTCTACATTATTCCTCCTTTGCAGCATTTAATTGAATTGACAAGGATATCATTTTCTTTAGGAAAGTAACAGGAGACGTCCAGCTCGAAAAGCACCTTCATCTGTTACAGCAACATCAGAGGATTGCAGAGAAGCAGCAAACTGGACAAATGGTGTCAGTACTACAAATACAAAGTCTATCCCATCAGCCCCTCTTGAATGGGAGAGCAGCATGTTTTCAAATTTACATACAGGATTCATAGACCGTAGTGGACATGAGAGGACGTCAGACGTCAAACATCGCTTGTAAGTTTGTTTGAATATGTCCAGTACTTAACCTGTATCTGGGAAACCTACTCTACATAGTTTATGTAAACCTTCAGTTGACAAAAATGATTTTCAAATATGTCAAAAAGTCAAAAGCTTTTTATTTTTGAGGGATTAAAGCAGTTTATATCAGTTCAAACTCGAGAGGTGAAAGGTGGGAATGATTCTAGGGGTACACAGGTCCAGGGGGACTCACAACAGTTTCTGAATTTTACATTTAAAAAGGTAAGGGGCCCAAAGCAGTTTACAAGTAGGTGGCCCAGAATTCCTATCCATAACCTTAAATGCAAGCATGAATTAAATATGAGTAAAATCCCTTAAACGTAAAACTGTATGGCTCTAAGACTATGAAATTTGTGATGATAAAAATATACTGTTGATATTTTTTCTCAGCTGCAATATGTCAAGTGTGTGATTATGAACTTTTATTGTTTCCTCGCCAGAAAGAATTCGGCACCCAGCCCAAAACTGGATGGACTCCATGTGTTGGAAATGGTTTTGGGTAGTGCACCTAAAATCTTCAACAGATTACATTTTGTATCCTAGCCAGTTCAACTGCAGAATATGCTAGCAGCTTTTGTATTGCTTTAAAATAAATGAAGTGCTGTTTTGTCCACATTCAATATTTGTGCATCTGTCCATTTTTAATATTTATTTTCCTAATCCTATTATTTTGAAATAAATTCTACCAAAAGGCAGTGTGTGTACACAACCACCCTATAATGATAAAAATCCACCGTTTCAGCACAGACTGGACTGGCGTGTTACCTTAGCTCCGCCCTGAGTGGGCTGTCATCAGTCCGCCATGGTTTCACCGCCGGAGCAGATGTAGACAAGAATGACTCCTAAGCGATTGAGGTGTTCTGTTGTTGGATGTAATAATGAACGTAGCAGTCGTCATTTACTCCTGACATCTGATCCACTGAACTTGCAGTGGATTTCGTTTGTTTCTGAAGGGAATGCGCCCCCGATCTGCCTAAATGCGTCTATGTTCGCGCGAATCATTCATGATCCAGCCTCATCTACAGAAGAAGTGAGTATAATGTTTTGTAATGAATCTTTGCAAATTGCCTTTCCTAATAATGTACTAATTAGCAAGTGTCACGATGAATGCGGCTAAAGTAAACAAAAAGGTGTTTTTTACAGTACCATTGAGACATTTTAACCAAACTATGTTACACACTTTTCATTAAGACCCTAAAGAATCATATCAACTTGTAGAAAATGGGCATCATATGACCCCTTTAAAACAATCTTATTTAAAATTCTATTGTTTTGAAATGCCTCCAATCCTTTTTCAAATTTTACAGATGACATAGAGAATGAGGAGAGCTTGTGTGATGTTTCTAGAACAACCATGCCAATGCTTAGTTTAGACAAGACTCCCATGGACCAGATGACTGCCACTGTAAGTACATTATCATTTTATCTTCCTCGAACCATAATCTGTGATATCAGCCCAGTCTGATATGATATCTGTGCTCTCATGCCTAATTCAGGCTCTTAAGGAGATCATCTTTGGTTCTCCTATGGCTTGTTTCACTGAGGAGTGGAAACAGCAGAATTTTACCTTTTCAGATACTCCTTGTTTGAAGTATGGGATTGTCCAAAAGAAGGTACAGTACTCCAGACAACCTCAGGATTTACTGTAGTTTTGGTTTGTAAACCTTTGCATCATGAGATCTTCTGGGGTTGTTTTATCAGGGAGGACCCTGTGGAGTTCTTGCAGCAGTTCAGGCTTGTGTTCTACAGAAGCTTCTGTTTGAAGAATCGAGCAGTGACTCATTGGATGTGTGAGTATGAAGCATCAGTCATATTTGTGCCAATTATTCTGTTGAAAGATTAGATATTTTTTAATATCATTATAATTTTCAAAGCTCTTATTGAGCTCACATTTATTTGCATTTTTATACATAAACCAGAAAATATTTTAGGTTATAAATGGTAATATTTGTATTTTATTGACGTCTCAATTTTTCTTTTTTCTTTTTTGTTTTATGTCATCAGGAGACTGGAGGTATCAAACATTTTAAGGACAAAATGTCTATCTCGGGCTTTGGCTGACATACTATGGAGAGCCGGGAATATGAAGAGAGCCACAGTCGCAATGTAAGTGTCACTCATTTAGAATTATTACTTATATTTACAAACCTCTTGTTCATTTGTCAACCGTAAAAGACCTGCCCCCACAGAAACACAGGAAGAAGTCTGTTCACCCCAATTGGACGCTACAAATCAGATGGTATTCTAGAAATGGTAAGGTCATTCTTTGACCCTTAAAGTGCCTTCTAATTGCTTCTTAATCTTTTGATGACTACTACATATTTCTCTTTTGTTAATAGATTTTTTTCATATTCCACATAGATAACATATGTCACTATGGAGACCTTAGATGATCTCACTTCAGTTCTTGAGCAGCATATTAGACAGGTAAGCCTGCACTTAAATGACACATCCCGTATACTTGATTTCTATTCTTGTAGAATATATATTTTCAAAAATAGTATAGAAATATATGATAAGATTTATTATGTATAATACTGTTAATTATGTATTTATATTTATAATATTAGTATTGATGTTTATAATGTTGTTATTTATATTTAATATTTATATTATTTAAATTTGCTATAAGCAAGTTTTGTTATATACCTTATATGCAGGATTTGTATCCAAGCACATCCAGTGATAGTCTTGAAGCATTTTAAGGCATATATCACCTGTTTAATAGCTCTTTATGTGATTGATGATGGCAATTAATAGCAGTTTTCTTTCTTCCTTTTAGTTTGAGTCTGGCCCCTTTGGCTGTATCCTGCTTACCGTCTCTGCCATTCTTTCCAGAACTATTGCAACGTGAGTTTCCACCTCTTTAACTCAGTGCAGACTGTTTACTTTCATATATTCACAGAGCTAATCGATTCGTTTTTTTGTGATTTAGTATACAAAGTGATATGGATGTGCCAACATCCACTCTCATTGGAGCTCATGGCTACTGCACACAGGTTTGCCATATTAACACTTTACAGTCCATATCCTGATACACATATGAAAGCATATTTGATTGTTCTCTTATTGGTCACAGTGTTGTTTGATTTTTGTACAGCTCCAGTGTGTACAGTGTCATTAAGTCTTATATTTTCCCTTTCATTTTTCTTAAGGAATTGGTAAATCTTTTGCTTTGTGGACGGGCAGTTTCAAACGTCTTTGATGATGAAATGAAGCTTGATTCCGGAAATGGAAATTTTACACTTCTGAAGGGAATTAAAGCACATTGTAACATTGGGCTGCTGTCTTTATTTGAGCACTATAATATATGTAAGGTAATGAGGCTTCAAACACTCTAACATATACTTAGATATTAAATCCAAATTTCTTATATCACGATTTCTCTCTTTTTAAAGGTTGGATCTCACCTGAAAACTCCCAAGTTTCCAATTTGGGTAGTGTGCAGTGAGAGCCATTTCAGTGTGCTCTTTTGCCCCTCTGAAGACCTGGCAACTGATCACTGCAGAGAGGAAGAGTTTGACTTGTACTATTATGATGGGCTGGCCAACCAGCAGGAACCAATTAGATTAACAGTCTGTGAGTCTTTTCCTTTGGGTAATTGCTTTTCTGGACACACACACAAAACAAACACTGATTTTATTATACATAGGATTTGTAATAAACCCAACCTTTGCACACTTGCTTTGTAATCAGGGTTTATAATAAGTCAGTATTAAAAGGTCTTGTGTGTTTTGTGTCTCTGAACAGATCTACATTGTGCTGCTGGTGCGGTTCAGAATGACAACGCAGACAGTGATCTCATTCCTCCACTGGAGCTCTGCATCAGGACCAAGTAAGTCTCTTATTTCATCACTGCTTAGAGGTGTATCTCTCGTTTATCAGAATATTTTCTATAACATGTCATTTTGATATTGTGCAATAAAGACATTGTGGTGATATTAATGCTTCAAATATGTCTTACAGATGGCAGAATGCAGTGGTCAGCTGGAATAATACAGATCCCATTCTTTGACTATGCACATAAAGGAGATTTTTATTTGACCCCGGTTGATTTTATGTGGACCTAAATTTAGGTTTTATATTTAAAAATGCATGCGTTTTGTATGTATTTTGTCTTTTATGATTGCTGCCATTCTATATATATTTATATTATTTTCATCATTCTACTGCCCATTTTGCTTGTTTTACACAATTGTTTGCTATCACTTTGTCTCTCATAGTGTTATATTGACAGTATGGCATTAGGAACTGTCATGCTTTGACACTTTTTTTTTATTACTTTATTCAAATCATGATTAAATGAATTAGAGAGAATATGACTTGTGATGTGTAAATAATTGGCATTGTTCACTCTAATAATTAAAGGGATAGTTCGCTCAAAAATGAAAATCTGTTATTGTTTACTCAAACTTGTAAGACTTATTTTCTTCTGAGGAACACAAAAGAAGACATTTTAAAGAATGTTGGTAACCAAACAGTTTTGATGACCATTAAATCACGGACCAAAAAAAAAAAAACGTGTATATTCCACAGAAGAAAGTCATACAGTTTTGGAATGACATGAGGGTAAGTAAATTTTAATTTTTGGGTGAACTATACCTTTAACTGTGTGCAAGAAAAAGATTTCTGAAGACGATATACAGTGTCATTTTGTGCAAAGAATGCTTTTGTTGCAGTCTGTCCCAAAAGGATGGACCCTGATTAGTGTTTTGCATGGAGATGACTCTTTAACTCATTAAAATGTCAAAGAAATGCATTTCAAATATCAAATCTTCTTTGAATTGGATCAATGGGTTATGCCAATGTCTTTTAAGAGCTCTCTACATTCTGTTTATGGCATCAGAGGACAGTGTACTCTCAATGTTTGATCATTTATTTTTACATGGAACATCTGGTGTAGTATTTCTCTCCTTGTAATGTTATCATGTTTATACACTTAGTAACTGTTATTTAGGAGTATAATTTTTAATTAATAGTGATGTATATAGAAAAGCAACTGACTACAAATGTTACCATCCTATGAAATAATCACAGCCCTGTAGTAACAAACTGGACTGAACAATGGTCATTTGTGCACATGCAAAAGAACATGATAAAGTGTAGAACATTATTTGATAGCATTAGTTGATCAACAGTAACTCCCGTTACAAGAGGTTTTCTTGATCATTAATCATATCAAGTCATTACAAAAACAATTTTAGTGATAAAATACAGAAGGTTTAATCGCAAACCTGCAAAAACAGATTGAAATGGTCGATGACTCGCATGAAATGTGTTCAAATGCCCACAGGAGCACATAACTACCACCTTTGGCATTAAATAGGGCTGAATAGCTAGGCCTTCTGGGTAGTAGTTCTGGTTGGTGCTCAGTTGTGGACTAACCAAAACCCCAGTCATCACTCAGGGTCTCATAGTTGGAGCCAACATGTTGGCTATGATTTTGGGATGAGGTTAGAGCCTGATTAAGAGCTGATTATGTGAGTTTTGATGCTATATTGTACGAATTAAGAGATATGCTTACAGCATAGTGGAACTCTGATAACGCCAAAGTAAACAAAAATATTGCGTTGTTTTTCCACAAATCAAGTGTATATTGCAACACAAACATCCCAGAAATTATAAACAGACATGCATTTTAAAGGAAGTATTTCCTGGCAAAAGTATATCATACTTTTAAAACATCTGACTCTGATCACTAACTCGTTCACTTTGATCTGTCTTTTCTTTCCTCACAGCTAAAACTGCATCACTCCACGCCTATGGCAAGCCGTTTTTACTTTTATTCATTCTCAGGATATGCATTCTTGATATCAACAATTAAATTTTTACTAGTTAAAATGTTAATTCTTGATATCAGGAATTAGATTTCTACTAATAACAATTGCTATTTTTGATATCAGCAATTACATTTCCACTAGTAACAATGTTAATTCTTGATATCAACAATGACATCATCACTCGCAGAAATTGAATTCTTGATATCAGCAATTAAATTTCTACTAGTAAAAAATATTATTCTTGATATCAATAATTTATATCCAAGGAATGGCAATAGGCAAGCCGTATTGACTTTTATTCATTTGCAGGATACAAATACTTGATATCAGCAATTCAATTTTCACTAGTTAAAATGTTAATTCTTGATATCAGTAATTGGATTTCTACTAGTAACAATTGCAATTTTTGATATCAGCAATTACATTTCCACTAGTAACAATGTTAATTCTTGATATCAACAATTAAATTTTCACTAGTTAAAATGCTAATTCTTGATATCAGGAATTAAATTTCAACTAGTAAAAACTATAATTCTTGATATCGCAATTTTTGATATCAACAATACAATTTCCACTAGTAACAATGTAAATTCTTGATATCAACAATTCAATTTTCACTAGTTAAAATGCTAATTCTTGATATCAGGAATTAAATTTCAACTAGTAAAAATTATAATTATTGATGTCTGTAATTGTATTTTCAGTAGTTAAATGTCACCATAGGCTGCCATTCAAATTTAATTGTTGATTGAAAGAATTGATTTCTTACTAGTTGAAATTCCAATTTCACATATCAGAAATACAATTCTTACTAGTAAAAACCTTTATTTTTGATATCAGTAATCACATGGTTACTAGTACAGATGTCTATTCTTGATATCAAAAATTTAACTGCCACTAGTGACAATGTTCATTTCTGATATCATGAATGTGATTGTTACTAGTAAGAAACCAATTTTAGATATCAGAAATTATATTCATATCAGAAATGCATTTTCAGATATCAGAAATAACAAATGTAACATGTTGAAATGCATTTACTGATATCAAGAATTAACATTTTAACTAGTAAAAATTGAATTGTTGATATCAAGAATTCATATCCTGAGAATGAATAAAAGTCAAAACGGCTTGCCATACCACGCCAAAATATCGCTCTGGAACTTATAATTAGATTCCACCCCGCAGCTGAAAGTGCAAATATATTTTCCTCTTACAAATAAACCTCATAAACGGTCATGTCTGAAGGAACGATCTAGTGTCCTTACTGACAAATATAAATCAGTGACTGAGTTCAGTCAGTGTGTGTGTGTGTGTGTGTGTGTGTGTGTGTGTGTGTGTATGTGTGTATCACAGTACTCAAACTGTCCTCAAGGTGCCTCGTGTCAAGGTGCCAAGGTGCCAATTCATGCCTTGTGTCATGAATCCAAAATCAATCAACAAATGAAAGTAAAAACAAAATAATAATTAGCAGTGATTTGTTTGACAATGACAGTTCATGTTCACTTTCTTCTCTCTACACTTTTTGACTTTTGTGCTCAACTGCAACGTTAATAACCTGTACAGACTGACATCTCAGACAACGGTCCTGATGTTATCATACACGAGTCTCCTATCCGAGGCTCCCAATCATTTTATAAGGGCCATCTGGTGTTTTATTTTTAGGGCCCTGATAATGGAACAATTTCCACCCACACATGGTGATGTCATAAATACAGAAAGTATCGGTCGTTAACCCACCATGGGGATATATTACTCGATTGAAATCATTTGGAAGCGGTAAGGAATCTAGTTAGCCGCTGTGCTGCTTTGACGTTGCTTCCTATCAATGGAGGACTTCATAGAAAATTGCTTACTTCCGTGTTGCAAAATAAGCTGGATATATTTAGTGTTAAGAGTTTGCTCCCAAACTTGCCTTGTTGCCATTATGTCTTCATGGATGAAGAATACTGACATCACCTGTCTCTTTTCATTCATGACTGAGTATCACAAGCCAACAGGCACAAAATGAGTGGAGGTGGGGAAAGATTCCCATGTGACGTGTCAGGAAGGAGGAAAGAAAGATTTGGAAACCTGACAAATAACATGTCCTGGGAGAAAAGCTTTTTTTTTTTTCTGTTGTCATGTGCATGCACTTTGGGATCAATAAAACCATGAGGCATCAAAAAGAGTCTAAATGCTAATACCACTGAATGGCAACTAAGTGCTGAATTAATTAAGAGACAGCATGTTTGTAAGATCTTCCACTTCACATGTCATGTCTGGGTGATATTGATTTGAATGTCGGCTAATTCATATTCATGTTTTGTATTTCTTCACAAATTGGTGTTAGTCATAAACTGGCAAACACAAAGCTTGGCCCTGCCCCCTCTCAGTGATGTATGAACCATAAATCGTAAGACCACACAAAATAGATCAAGGGTCTTTCAGAAGGAGATGTGTGGGTTTAAAAAGAATATGGAATCAGCTATAAATAACAGGACAGGGCCCCTCTGGATCATCTAATGGGATTAAAATGTTTACTTTGCAGAATGTTGCCTCAGAGGCAAAGTTATGGAGTACGTCATGTTTCATTTCAGTACAAGCATCCTTTCCTCATCCTTTTCCTAAAGAGATTCATTTTTATGTCAGACTGCTTTCTATTATCATTATTTAGAGTGCAGTAGTTGTTAGACCACAAGAGTTCAGCTGAGTTTTTTTTCTCGTTTTGTATGTGTAACTGTCAAAGACATGTTTTCACAGAGATGTGTATATGTTTCTGTTATAAATTCATGCACATTTGAGTTCATTCATTGTTTACAAATATTTGACTAAAATGTATGAATGTGATATTCAGAAGGTAATAACTAGAGAATGTGCTCCCTTGAAAATGTTTAAAGTTAGGGTTCTTTAAGAAAGATTTACCATTGAAGTGTAACAGGTCACAAGTCCAGGTTGAGTTGAGCGAGGGACCATGGCATGGGTCGAACTATCATGCATGCTGAGAAACAACAATATACTGTCTGAAAAATTATTCCTTTATCTGCATGGTCTAAGAAGGGCGCACATATAGTTTATCTTTAAATTTGTTGCATTATGTGTATAATGTTGTTTTATATCACTTTACATGAACAATGTGATTTGTTAATAGTGATGTCATTGGAATTTGATTTGTCGCACATGTTCACTTGCATATCAGCAGATATTTGCATGAGAGACTTGAAAAAGGTCTCTGAGAAATGCATATTTTGAACATAATGTGCTTTTTTTCTTGCAGTTTTCACGGTGTCTGCTGAAAAGAGAGAGAAACAAACAAACAGCGAAAAGACAGATAGGTTGGTTGGTTGGTAAGATTTTTTTTTTTATCCCTCTGTGCTAACTAAGGCTACATTTATTTGATCAAATACAGTAAAAACAGTACTATTGTGAAATTTTATTACATTGTAAAATAAATGTTATATAAAATGTAACTCATTTCTGTGATGGCAAAGCTGAATTTGCAGCAGCCATTACTCACCATTACTGTCACAGGACCTTTCAGAAATGAATGAATGATTGAATTAATTAATTTATAATATTTAAGAAACTGTTATACACTTATTTTTTGAGGATCCTTTTATGAATAGAAAGTTTAAAATAACAGCATTTATTTGATATATGTATATATATATTTATATAGTAACAATGCAAGTCTTTACTGTTGTTTTTGATCAATTCAATGCATCTGAATAGCTGAATAAAAATATTAATTTGTTTACAAAAAAAACTTATGATTGAATTCACCATTATTACCATTATTGTTACACTTTTTTTTTTTTTTTTATTGGCAATATATATCACCAAATCAACATTTCATCTCAAACTAGCTTTCCCCAGCTAACTTTGTATAAATTTTGTCTGTTTGATATATTAATGTGCAATTTGAAAACCCATGTAAAATAGAAAGTATGGCTAGTGATAGAAGATAAACACTCACATATTTAGTTTTACCTCCTGAACTTGATAGTCAACATTTTCTGAAGGTAAAAGCATCATTTTTCACTGACCATTTGCTGGAAAAGATAAAAGTACTTCATTTTTAAAAACTCTAATTTTAGGTCATATGTAGTATTCGTGGAAAGTGCCTCATACACTTACTGAACACGCACATTGTTAAGCGCCCAACTTTGAATCAGTCACATTTTAAATACAATAATTATTTTAGACGGTGTGTCAGTGTGAATCACACATTTAAAGCATGCGTGATTTAGAAGTATAGATTTACTTACACAAAAACTAATCTGTGAAGTCAATAAATAGGTCTGGGTTTTGCTTTTAATAGACACGTCCACATCGCTCTCTGGTGAGTCACTGAGGATGGGGTCAAGAATCATTACCAGGGAAACTATTGGACAAAGTCTCTCTAATTTATCACTTCATGAATGGAGCCGGGGCTCTTCGCTTCCGTGATGAAGAACTCTGAATAAGGGAACGACCTGCCTTTGTTAGACTTAGCTCCGGACAGCTTGCCGGTAACTGGAGGATTGTGTGTTTGGGTATAATTGTGTTAGAACCCTCCCACATATCATCCCTTGTGCGTCTTCTGTCTCGTTCTTTAATCTCTGCTGTTTGTCTTTGTGATAAGTGATATCCCGTTTAGATCACAATAGATTGTTTATGCCCACCTGATGAGAAGAAGGCTCTGTAACGGCCCTGGTGGATACACATTATTTATAGCGTCAGAATCAAATTAGACTGTTTGTGAAAGCCCAGGATACCTGCCATTTTTACTCCGCAATAATCTGTCTGAAGTGATGTATTGATGCTTTCAGACGGAGTCTTAATTACGACATAAGCCGTCAGTTAGCGAGGGATGCATTTGAAAAGTTTTTTTTAAATAGTGGCTGAATTGTTTGTTGCCAGACATTTAAAGTAACTATGTCTGAGGATTTATATTCCCTCTAGACCAGTAAAGCCAACTGCTATTTCATAGAAGACTCTAAAAAAAACCACTCAAACCATGTCACACGAGATAACAATGATGAATGGTGAAGGAAAATGATTTCCTGGTATTACTTTCCCAGATTTTCACTGTGGCGCACTGGAGCGAGAATCCCATTTTTAACAGAAAGCTTGTGGTCGCAACGACGTAAAATACATTCATGAGTACACATTCATCAAAATGGGGTTTAGTTTATTAAGAACACTTAAAAAGGGTCATGTCATGAAGAATCAAACTAATCTTTTGATTGCAATTTGAAAACTTCCTTCCGAAATGAAAAAAGACTGTTGATACTAATCTGCAAAAAAAGAAAAGAAAAAAAAAGAAACTTTCTGGCGTCATATGAATACATTTGAACAATCACACACTACATGTCAATGACGTCTGCTTTTACTCATTGCACATGCAAAGCAGTGTTTACATAGGAGTCTTAAAGGCACAGCAACCAAAAAATGTATCCGTTTAACATCATTCTAGGGTCCGTGGAAAATTGTCATTAAAAACTCAAAAAATTAAAACTTAACATTATAAATGGACCTCAGGGAACAGAAGTAAGTCATGGTATGACCCTTTTAAACAAGCTAGAGACAATATGAAAGATAAATATGTCTGATAAGCAAGATCCTGTTATGCATTTACCATACTAATTATTGTGATACGTTTTCAGAGACATTCTGGCGTGAGAACTTGTAGCACTGTGAGTTCTGGTTCTATTTGTTTTAGCAAAACCAACAGAAGGGGAAGACAAAATGTTTGTCATTCCTATTACGAGAACAGGATCTCCAAGAGTGAATAGTCTCTGTTTATTTGCTCATTTGAAAGGGTCCACTCTTGTTTGTGTGCTTTTCTCTTAAGAATTTCTCAGACGTAATCTTACTCCAGTGCTAAAAGACACACTGTAGCGATGATGTATCTGCAAAGTTGTCGAAAACAAACAGATAAATTACTCTAATCCAAGACAAAGTCAAGATAAGCAGCTTTCGAAATCCTGATAAACAATTACAGAACTATGACTGCAAACTGATCTTTACTCTAAATAATAATAATAATGAACAATAAAATAAAAATAAAGCTGCAAATCAAATCAAAACATCACATGACAGCACATATAAAGAAGTACTATACAAGCATGTAAGCAATTAAGTCAAACAAGACATTTAAGGGTGACAGAGACTTGGTGCCAACCGTTGGGATATACTGTGAGAGATTTATGATCTTATGTTTCCCCTGATACAGAGGAAATGGATTGTCAGCTGTTATGAAATCTGCTCAATTACTGGAATGGAGCATATTTCATAATAGCTGACGACCCAATCAATCATCCAACAAAATCAGCTCAAAGAGACCCAAAATATGATGTTTTCATGCTCACATTATTCATTATCAGCCACAGGAATGCTTTGGAGAAATATATAATCAGATCAAACAGTTTTATAATGAATAATTTAATAAAAGTTTAATTCATAAAAAGGAAAAAAAAAAAAATATATATATATTTGGAACAGAAATATTTGTAAGAGTAATGGTGGCTTAATGAGATATATTCAAATGTAATCAGGACTGAATATTTACATATAATTTAAATACATAATTGGCTGCAAATAATACTTTCTTTAGAACTCATAATATAAAAAGCAAAGCTATTAAACAAAACTATATTTTAAGAACATTTTAAAACAAACATAAATTATGATAAAAAGCAAAAAAATGTTATTATCATTAAAGAACAAGCATACTTTGGAAATGGAAATGACATAAATGAAAAAAATGTCAGTTAATTGCAGTGATTTGAAGGCACTTCCTTGGAAATAATAATTTACTCCAACATCTCTGGAGTTTCTTCTTTTATATCCTCAGGACCTGTGAGACATAGAGAATTGAACAGAAATGTATATTATATTTCCTTTATATTTTAAATCAATACTTTTAGGATTCGGTTACAGTTAGAAAAAAGTATCAGAAAGACAGCATACAAAATTAAGTTCCAGCAACTCAGCCTGTCTTACACAGAAACAATGAACTTCAGACTTGAATGAATTTCTCTCCACTTCAATGGAAATCACTTATTCACATCATAAAAGACAATTTAACCATTTCTAATTGATTCAGAGGGAAAGCAGTCTGAGCAACCTAATAAAGCCACCATAATTCACCAGCCCCATCATTTGACATTCAGATTGGTAATGGATTCTTTCACCTTTCACTAACAGGTTCTTTGAATGTTTCATTCCAGCAGATGATGTCACAGCACAGACTAATTCCAGCATCACAGTTTTGTGGTGAACAATTCTGAATATGTTTTAAATGAATAATGTTTGATTCTTTAATTCTGACTGAGCTCTGATTGACTTGCCAAGATAGTTATTTAATCATTTTATTACACAATCTAATATACAATTATTCAATTGTATAATCTATCAGAAAAAATTGCATTAAGCAATAGCAACTTGGCAAAAAGGAAAAATAACACAAGACAGGAAAAGTCTGCTATCCAAGCTTGTGCACTGCTTTTTATCAATTATACAGACATAAAGACGAAAATCTTAAGTCAAAATCAGTTTCTTTAAGGCATTATACATTAAAATTTTAATTGCCAGAACATGGACTCTCGGAAGACTTTGTTACATCACTTTGTGTTTAATTACTTCAAAATGATTGGTTCCTAGTTGCATGCATGTTACAATGCAAATTTAGAAATGGAATTTCTTGGAAATTCTTTTCTGCCTGTGTGAACCGTGCATTAACTGCATGCCTTAGAATGTACCAGATGGCCATGATTAAACTGACATTATATCTTACTCAATATTTCTTCTAAGGTTTCGGTTAAAGAAACATGCAAAACTTTCCCAACAGTAACCAGGAGCAGGCTCGGCTATCATGTTACAAATCTTGCAGTTGTCTTGTTTCAGAAAATTATAATAAATACACACATACACATAACAAATATGCACATAATAACAATATAAATACTCATATTTACATATGTTCATATATGTGTATGAATATTATTATATAGTATACTATATTATTTTATTATGATATTTTCTATTACTTTTTATATATATTTATTTTTATGAAAATTAAATGGAAGTAAGAAATTTAACAGGTTTTGATGTATAGAACAAAAGGCACTCCACATAAAAACAATAAAATTACTTACAAATTGCCAAATAGTTAAAAACAGCTTTGTACTTACATGCAGTTTCTATGACTGTGTGCAAAGGGGACTCATAGCTAGTCTTGTTAGCAATCGTGCACATCTTTTATAATCTGTCAGGGACAAGAAAAAGAAAACAGGGAATTTTTTACTTTCAGAATGTTAAACAGACACTGACACGCTGGCTCGAGTTGTGACATGAAGCAAACATCACCACTTCAAACGCACTGATGAAATTCAGTTTTAAGTGGAGCTCTCATGCCATCACGGGATGATGTATAGAGTATGAACATGGCTAAGGGTTAGATGGATCCCTGTAAATAGCTTAATCTCGGCTCCAGTAATGTACTTGATGGCCTAAAATGACTGTGTGGGTTCAAGCGCCACATGCTTCCACCCTTAATGGTGTTTGTGAAGTCTGAACATCCCATTGCTGTCCTGTTCCAAGCACCGTTGCTGTCATTTTCTCTCAAGGTACTGCCACGTTTCCCTCCCTCCCATTTAAAAGTGACAATGTCAAAGCAGAACTCAAACACTACAAAGTATCTTGAAAGTATATGGCATGAAACTGCTTTGGATTCGCTGTCACCATACATGAAACTTATCATGTTTCAAGTTTACTGCAGTTTAGGGAGCATTTAAGTTATAAAAATGCTCTGCAAGACAGAAACTCTGATTTAGGTATGAATTATTATGCTTTTGCCATTCCCAGTGTTCCTCATGGCTGCCAAGTCCTCAAACACAACTGGTCAGTTTTGCATGAACTTATTTACAAAGCTCACTGTATAAAAATAATATCTCATTGGTATACACATGCTGCACTCTCTTTACTTCTACTTGCAATAATTCATAGATCCTGCTTTAGACAATAAATATCCACAGTATCTAAGGCTGAATTTCACAACTCTTCTTTCTGTACGGAGAACCACAGAGGAGGGTCGTGGAGCAAGTTCACAAAACATCGCTGACCACTAACACACAAGTGTTTTCACTCAAGAAATGTAAAACAAAACACTTAAACGGACAATGTCTAGACGAAATAGGCATCAGTTGTGACCCAAAATATGAATCTGATCATCACTTTGGGAAACTATTGTCTTTTATTTTGTGAAATATAAAATGTAGTACAGTTGAAGAAAAGGAGACTTGATTCGTTTCAACATTTATGCTCTCTATACAGAGTAACACTTTAGCTGGGCCATTAGATAAGCGTTATTTAATGGAAAACTCTAAACCTCTCCTGAACACTATGAAGTCCATGAGGACTAAGGGTGGAGGAGCATTTTCGTTGCGGTGTAACGGCCTGTCAAAACTGTGGGGTTTTTTTTATTTCAGAAAAATAGAAACATAGGCAGCATTTCTAAAGTCTCTATAAAATAAACGCACACATATATAAGCAGCATAATACAAAATCAATTAAGATCATAATAACAGAATTCTAATTTGAATTCGCAGGTAAACATTTCATGCCTTCATTTCAAACATTTTCATGCCAAAATGAAGATTCTGTCATCATTTATTCTAAAAAAAAAAAAAAGATATAAAAACAAAATATATTTAAAGAACACTGGGGTACAAACAACATTGGACCCCATTTACCTTCATTGTATGGACAAAGAAACATGGAAACATTTTTCAAAATATCTTCTTTTGTGTTCCACAGCAGAAAAACCATACAGATGATGACATGAGAGTAAATGATGAACATTTTCAATTTTTGTTGAAATATTTCTTAGTTGAAGATATATGTATACGTACATGTTGGTCTGGAACATTCCCTTGTATTGTGATAAATTCTATGGAAATGTGTCCTGCATTCAGATGGAAACTTGACTGGTCCTGCTTGAAAAAAAAGTTTCAGTTATGATAAGGTTATAGGTTATAGTCAGATTAATTACTCTGGTGAATGAAATAATTTAGCTTTTAATTTCAAAATGTCTACTTAAGCATTATGCCTAATCTCACAAACTTGTACAAAGAAGATGGTAAAGTTAGCTGAAGGTGCTGTCACGGAGTCATTTTTTCACTTGTGCAGAAACCCGGAAGGAGAATAAGCGCATGCTAACACTTGACATGCCATCACAAGGGCAGAGACTTAATGATTCTGATTCTGGCAAAGCTCTTACAAAGTTTCATTGTATGAGCTTCTGGATAACAAATTTTCACACTAATTATCGTAGGTGAAAAAAGATTCTGCAATGAATAATCATCTTAAATGTGCTTTTCCTAACAACATTTGGCTGGAGTACAAAGTGTATTTCACAACCGGGCGGTAAAAACACTACCTAAGTTCACCTACTGCAGGCTTAACTTATTTGACTGGCTTTATGTTTTACAGGACGAAAACTGCTAATTTCTAATGAGACAGATTTAAAAATATGCCTATAATGAGAATGAAAACAGAGGATGTATTCAGAACGGATACTGAATACTGCACAGTATATATTGCATACTACTTTTTAAAAATAGCAAGTGAAACAGCTGGTCTTATTCCACAATCATCATTTTAAACAGAATGCTAAATTTCTGTCACATGACCTGGCTGCATTTGTCACATGACCTCATCAAGTTACATGTTGCATACGAGTCAATGAATGGTGTCTGGTTATTATCTTGGAGTTTATTGTAATCCAGTTTTGTGTAAAAATGGATTTTATTTTTGGCCGTCAAATCAAATAATGAGTCAATAAAGAGATATTACTTCTGTTTCATTCCTGACACCGGAAATGGAAGGCCAGATTGAATGCACTGCATTGTGGGATACAATATTCAACAAAGTAAACATGGCAAATGTAGCAGGTCATAAGAAAAATAAAATCCTCACACTGTGCACACACTGTATACATATTATACACTGCAGCAACAGTAAGAGTAGTTATTCTGAACATAGGATACATAGCCACACATCTAGACCTCATCTAGAGGGCTGCTTGAAAATGTTAATACTACAAGAAAGATGAAACATATTGAAATAGGTTGTTGTTTACCTGTGAAATGTTCTATAAATTTGCCTTTCATGCTTATGTCTCTTGGGACAATCTCTGAAACAGACAGACAAAAAAACAGTGTTAATGTTTTTGCCTTATGTACCACCCCAGCCTAATCAATAAGGCTCAAAACTAGTAAATATACCCCTTCATCGATATCAAATCGATTCTTTTAGCTTCAAATGTGTTCTTTTAACTCGTATAATACTGGATATTAATTTGCAATTTTGAATTAAACTGAAATAGGCAATTTATACTGTGGGAAAACAAAACAGACTAACCATAGCTTCCTCTCAAACTGAAGCAGTTTGAAACATAGAAGCTGTTATTGCATTTACCTTGAGGTTGGTTGGATCGGAGACATTTGATGGATGAAAACAGGAAAGAGCATTGCATTTTAATAGAGAAATCTGTCTCTGTCTGCATATATTATTAGATATTCCACTATAATTTGTGACATCCAAATCAAAATGTTTTTCTTTTCTTAAAAAATATGGAACTGTGTTTCATTAATGTAATATATATATATATATATATATATTAGTGCTGTCAAAAGATTAATCGCATCCAAAATAAAAGTGTTTGTTTACATAATATATGTGTGTGTACTGTGTTTATTTATTATGTATATATAAATACACACACATACAGTAAATATTTTCAAAATATTATTTTACATATTAATTATTAATAGTATATATATATACACAAAACAAAACTGAAACTACTCAAGTATCCCCTTGGGTAAGTGTTTAAGGAGTTAAAAAACACAAAGTCTCTGCCAAGTGGCAACTATAAAATATGTTTGATATTCATCACAACTTCAACAGAAAATTATTGCCGGTATATAAAACACTGAGATTTCTGTTTTAAGTTAATGGTGAGTATTAAAAAAAGAAATATTACAAAGAGACAACTTTGTACAATATAACCGTTTACAATATAACTATTTAGTCTGGGAATGATTATGTCATCAGCTTGCATCCAGCTTAGTCACTGAATACACTGTCTAACACATGGCATGAAGTCTGCTTACTTAGCTATCTTTATAGGGACGTACCACTGACATCTATTATTAGTAAATTTAATGAAGACATTCTTCATAAACCATTTGTTTTGTCGACGACCTCCCCGAAAGTTTAGCAAAACTGAAAACATAACTTTGGTGTGCATCAGCCCAAAATTAATGATGAATTTACAGACAGTTTGTTAATAGTCTTGTAAATACTGTTAATAGTCTGTCAGATCTCAAACTCATAAATGCTTGCAGCAACAACCTCTTGGAAAACTTCCACATGACGATGATATAACTGATTACAGTCATATATGCCATACATGACTAAATGATTGACGTAAGAAAGACGGACAGCCATTTACAGCATAGATGTAAAATGCAATCCCAGATTGATAATCCAGCACTCAGTAAATCTGCTAGAGGCTTGGGATCCTTGCTAATTATGTACAATCTGTGGCCCGCCCGACCCTGGGACACCGTCCCCACATGTAGACCATATCAGTTCCAGCCTATCGGAGTAAGGAGATTATTGCATGCAAAGTTGTAATGCCTATCAATGTCAGGTCCACAAATCCATGCAGCAGCTAATTTTAACCTGCCTCAGAATGTAGGATAACCAACAATGCTTTATGAATGAGTTCCTCTTTCATTCAAAATACAGTGACTTCCTACATTTTTGATGCCTACACTGATCCTTCAACTGTGGGCTAATCTTTTCCAATTTTAATAAGAGAATCGAAGAGATGATGCACTATCAAACACCTGTCAATATAATTCCGGGTCTATACGCGTGTCGTCACACCTGAGTCTTACATAAGATGACTAAATGCCTATACTAATGGGCTGTTCTGTTCAGAAGGGTACAGTACAATGCAGTGTGTTGATTGTTTTGATTATATAAAGGTCCATGATCAACTCAGTTTTCAAAACTTGCATGTTTTCACTGGATTAAAATCACTTTCATTGCAAAACTTTAAAGGCAGTAAACTCAGTCAAAGGTCATTCAGATCAGCAATAGCAGATGTTTATGGGTGTAAAAAAAATTTTGGCACATGATTTCTGTGTAACAACACACGTCAATCAGTGTTTTTTACTTTTGATATGGCTAAGACATTTAAATAGCAAATTCTGAATTCTGAAAAACTTGCACTGGCACTGTCAAAATTTCATGAAATTTGTTTTAGTCAAATTAAGTAATGGGGGTGTCACAGCAGCGAAGAAACCACGTAATAGCGCAACAACTTTTTTGTCTGTATTTGAGTATAATGAACTATTCCCAAGAGTAACAGAAATGCTAAAATACCTCTGAACACATCAAAACACTGGTCAGATTCTAGACATGGAACATTCAGTAGTTGCTGTTAAACAAATATTTAGTTGAGCACAAATGTTAACACTCTTTGGCAGTTTTCAAAACTTGCATGTTTTCACTGGATTAAAATCACTTTCATTGCAAAACTTTAAAGGCAGTAAACTCAGTCAAAGGTCATTCAGATCAGCAATAGCAGATGTTTATGGGTGTAAAAAAAATTTTGGCACATGATTTCTGTGTAACAACACACGTCAATCAGTGTTTTTTACTTTTGATATGGCTAAGACATTTAAATAGCAAATTCTGAATTCTGAAAAACTTGCACTGGCACTGTCAAAATTTCATGAAATTTGTTTTAGTCAAATTAAGTAATGGGGGTGTCACAGCAGCGAAGAAACCACGTAATAGCGCAACAACTTTTTTGTCTGTATTTGAGTATAATGAACTATTCCCAAGAGTAACAGAAATGCTAAAATACCTCTGAACACATCAAAACACTGGTCAGATTCTAGACATGGAACATTCAGTAGTTGCTGTTAAAACACATATTTAGTTGAGCACAAATGTTAACACTCTTTGGAAAATTACACCAATAAGCAAGTATTATTATTCCAGCATGAACTATATCAAGTACATAACATTTAAATGTACAAGTAATGTTCATTGGGTTCAGTGAAAGATATTTCAATGAAATGAAATTATATATATTAATCTTCACATAATTCTGCTATATTTGCTGTATTAACATGAGACTCAAGTTGACTCAAGACTCAATGACCATGTTAACCAGTACAGATGTAGATGGGGCTCTTATCTATTATGGAGGGCTCATCTATTAATGGTGTCTCAGAAAGCAAGAAAGTAATGGACAGAGATGGACATGCATCTGGCTTTTGTTTAAAACAATCCATTCTTGTTGGTATACAGAGGTCGAATGTGACTGCACAACATGTTTTTAAGTTATCACTAGCAACATTTGCTAGGGGACTGGGGAATATAACATTATAACAGTAATTATAAATAAGTAAAGACTAGGCCTACTGAGCATCAAAAAGTACTAAAAAGTCAAATGTTATATGGGTGAGACACATGGAAAAGTCTTTGCCTACACTGTAGATATAATGTGCAATTGGGAATAATTTATTTTTTTAGTGTGGTCAGGTTGATGAATCACATGATTTTTTTGTTTTGTTTTTTACTTAGTAATAAACCAGTTAACCAAGTAATTATTCACAAAGTGCAGATCATCAGCACACACACCATTACATGACAACCAGCATCACAAATTCTCAAGCTTTTAAACTTGTCTATGAGCAGTCCTTAGATCTACACAGATGATTTCAGCATTATGTGATCTGTCTAACAAGACATAAGCATTCATTTTACTACCCTCTGCAGATCAAAAGAGTGTCCTTTAATCCAATTTCATGTCTTTTTTTTTACTGAACGTTTCAAAATTATTCAAAGAATACAGGTTATGTTACTGTCTTTGCAATTCATTCAAGTGTACGTAAGGCAAAATATGAACAGTTGTCCATGCAATAAGTGATTAAAGCAAAAAAAAAAAAAAAAAAACTCCCATTAACAGGAAGGAGTTAATGCCCAGGATTACTTTTGTATCATCACCTGATCTCAAATCAGCTTACCTATTGGTCTGCTGTTGTTGGACAATTGTGCAGTCTTTTCACGAGAGGAAAACTTCACATCTTGAGATACAGAGTAGAGGCCACTGGTGACGCGCCTGGACGCGGGCTTGTCCCCGATCACTTGCAGGATTAGGTTAAGCAGAGTTTTCCTTTCCGACTCCTTTACCTCCTTGCTGTCCATGCACTGGCTGGAGGTGATGAGCAAAAGAATCATACTCAACAATATGTGCCATCTCTTCTCAGCCCGCATGGCTTTCCAGCCTGATAAACGAACAAAACAAGCAAACATAAGTCATTACATCCTTGTACTAAAAGTTGACCGTGCGTAAAATACGCAGATGTCAGAGCAGTTGCGCAGTGGTCCTGTGTTTATGCAGTACATATTACATCCAGATTCGAGTCCGACCTAAAAGTCTAGACCTGTCTAAACTCTATACTTACGGCAAATAAAGGTAAAACTACATAAATAAATAATAAAATGGTGCCTACATGTACATGAAATGACCTAAATCCAACTATTCTGTACTGTCTACATGTTTAAACTTTTCGAAATCATAAAAATAATCAATTCACTTTACTATAATGATAAAGTATGTACTCACATAAGCATAACATAAATAGAAATGTACGCGATTATATATTGGTAGGTGCTTCTACCTCTAATGATGTGCACGCAAAGTTGTCAGAGAAAAATATATCTTCCAACAGTTCCTGTTGTCTCGTGTCTTTCTTGAGAACATGCGTCTTGTTTTTATACGTCAAGTGCGAAGCTTCTGGAATGTAATACAATCGATTTCGGGTGGGTGGCAAATGTAGACATCTTTCCCTTAGGTTTTTTCCCCCTCAATTCGTGGTCAGTTCCTTTGACATTCGCCCCTCCTTTTGTTTCAAATCCATCACAGAAGTTAAGATAACTATAAAAAGTGTCTCAAAACTCCTCTCTGCGATTTATTAAAAGATTAATAGCTGGTAGAGGGCTGCACGCGTAAATGTTCTTGGAGATATCCATCGCGCCATGTACCCCCAGGGAAATGATGGGGAAACTCAGTTATCCATATATCCAAATATACTTGCTTAAATGTAGCTGAGCTGTGAAATTATGGGGGATGGGGGGGAGAGAGACACGTCACCCGCGGTAATCTACGCCCCTGAGTACAGTATAGTTATTTATTCTTAAAACACTAATAAAAAATGTAACCTATACATAAATACCAAACAAACGTACATTTTGACTAAAAGAATAAATAAAAATAAAAAAAATTATTGCAAATTATAAAAATAATAAGATGAAATGCACTAACAAAAAAAACAAACAAAAAAAAAGTAGACACCTTGTAGGTGAAATGAAAAAGTCTGGGTGGTGGACAATCTTAAAATAGTTAAATTATAGTGGCAATAATTAAAGTGACAATAGTTTAAAGCTGTGATCTATCCATAAACCCTAGACTGATGGCATTAACAATCTATCCATGGAATCCCTGGGTGTATAAAAGTTGTAAACCCCTTCTCTGTTGAATCCATGTAAAAGTACAATGTGAAAAGACACACAACAGCTCTAGTTGCTCTCGCTGAACCTGCTTTTCATATGGGAATTTGAAGGAAACAGCCTTTTTCCCTCTTGACATCAAACTTTACACATGGTCATGACAATGGAATAGGCTACTGCATTTTCGACATTGCAAAGCTTAATCTCAGCATAGATATAGGATAAGTGTTCGCTGTCCTGATATAGTCTTTAACCCATTACCTAAGACATATGATTATTGGAATGCTGTAGTCTTCTTACGACCATTGGATGTATTAAAGCCACATTTGAACAGTTACAGACAAGTAATAAAGATGATGTACTTGGCGACATCAAGCGGCCTGTTCTCAAACTACAAGTAACATTGCCTTACCCCCAACCCATCTCCCGGAGTCCCATATTATATGTGCATAAAAAGCATCTTTACAGTTGTTAATAGCTGTTAAACAGAAGAAGCAATTAAAAGATGTGCATTTCAGATTTATCTTGTTACGGTTAATGTTTCAAACTTTTGTCTTACGTCACTGTCAACGGTAACAAATGACATTTCCACTAATTTGGAAATTTAGAAATACAGTAAATTACTTAAACTAATTCTAATCTCTATTTAGGTGTTTAGAGGTTTCATGCAAAGAAAAATGACAAAAAGGCTGCGTGAAGAGGAAATGATATTTCTTGGAATGGTAAACTGAATTATGTACTACTACCATTCAAAGGTTTGGGGTGGTTAAATTATGTTAATGTTTTTGAAAAATTTTGAAACATCTTATGCTGACCAAGGCTGCATTTATTTGATCAAGTATACAATAAAAACAGCAATACTGTGAAAAATTATTACAATAAATAAATACAAAATATAGTTTAAAGTGCAGTTTATTCCTGTAATAGCAAAGATGATTTTTTATTAGCCATTACTCCAGTCTTCAGTGTCACATGAGCCTTCAGAAATCATTCTAATACTGATTTGGTGCTCAAGAAACATTTCTTGTTATTATCAGTGTTGAAAACGGTTGTGCTCAATATTTTTGTGGAAAACATGATATTTTTCAGGATTATTTGATGATTAGAAAGTAGAATAAAATCTTTTTGATATAATTTTTTTTAACAATGTAAAAGTTTTTTTACTGTAATTTTTGTATCAATCCTTGCTGAAGGTAAGGTACTTTTTGAGTACTTTATTATACATGCAAAGCAAAAGTATGTGCTTTGTATTAATAGTCATAAGTAAATCATAAATATTTGAATGAAGATCATTGCGCTTCTACAGCTTGACTACATGTTGAGTGTACAACCACCATGTTGCCACCAGTAGATGGAACTCTAATACTGTTTCTTTTCATTTCATTCTCTGACTGTGCCATCTTCAGGCCATTGATCCAAAACTGTCCTATCCATCCCAAACCGAGCTGGATGCCCTAAACAATGAGGCCAACAGGCAGATCAGGCAAGATGAACATGAAGATGACTATCAGAAATCCATTGGATCTGTTATTTATCAGCTCAGGGAAGTGGAGGGTCCAGAAATGAAGGAGACCATGAAAGATCAGATCTGACAGTTGTTCATAGAGTGCCGGTGAGTGGGATCTCTTGCCAAAGGTTGCGCACAGTTTATATTACCTTGGTGTTTTACTGAGCATCTTTTAACATAATTTAACATGAGCACTTGTGAATAGTGATGCAACAGGCTCATTTCCTGACTAACCAGAGGAGGATGGAGGCTCAGCCCTTATAATCACAGAGAAAACACCTGAGGAGGTAAACGTATTGACATAATTAGAATACATGTTCATCTTTGACCAAAAACTACAGTATAGAAAAGGCTCAGTAGAATTACATTTGTTTGGGGTGTTCATTATCTATACTGTTCAGTATGATTATGATTAAATAAAACTAGAATACACAGTATGAAATGTTTGTCATGTTTTCGTTGACAATCATGTCTTCCTTTGAAGCTGGCAGAAGAACTGGCAGCAAAGGAGGAGGAAGATGTCAAGAAAAAGCCGAAGGGCAAGGAGGAGACAAACGAAAGGAAAGAAAGGGAAAGTCGATGACGAGGTAAGAATTGAGGACCTGATATGTGCTTAAAACGACATATTCTAAAACCATAATAACAATGATAAAATAGGAAATAGGAAAACACTGCAAAGAACATTACTGAAAATGTGTGCCAAGTATTTCTCTACTGTATATCTCATTGAGTAGTTTTTTTTATATGTAACATATGCTGTAACTGTATTATTACAGGAGGAAGAGCCTGGACTGAAGATGCTACCATCTGCCTATCTGGCAGATCTTGAGAGGGGACACGAGACTTTTTCTGGCAAGAAAAATTTAAGAATTAAACATTTATGTGTATTATAACAGCATATCAGTCTCAGGAGAGAGGGTGTGAGCGTGACTATCTCATCTGATCTGCAGAGGTTTGGAAAAACAGAAACGAGTCCAAGAATTTTACTCAAAGACACGAGCTGGAGCTGATCAAGGAGGAGAAAAGAAAAGAGAATGAGGTGGAAATAAGAAAGCAGGCGACTGATGGTTCATTGAATGTCTTTTAGCTTGTTGTGAAACCACAACGACTGCTGTTAAACTGCTCTGTGTACGTGCTGTTTTCCATTTACTGCTGTTTTTTTTCTTTTTAAAGTCTCCCTGAGATCAAACATTTAGGGCCATGTGTCCTTCACAATTATTGTCATTTTATTAACCTTAGTGCTAGCTCTCAGAGACATTGGTTTTTGTTGCTTGTTCAGGTGGATGAACTGATGAGACAGGAACTGGCTAATTGGAAGCTGGCTGTGGATTAAGGAAAAAGCGGAAAGGTCAAGGGTGCTGCAAAAGTACAGTAAATCACTTCTGTTTACATGGATTTACTGGATAACATCAGAGACATTGACTGTACAGTATGTCTTATGTTACACAATGTAATTGAAGAGATAAAATGAATGTCTTTATTCACATTTTGTTTCTTACTGTACAGAAAAAGAAGGCATCAAAAAGTGAAAAGAAGAAGGACAAAGACCTTACAGCGGATAGTTTTTTTTAGTTTTTTTTTTAATTTGGAAATTTGGAATTCTCCACCATTAAAGGGATAGTTCATATCTTTAATTACTCACTGTCATTATGTTTCACACCTGTGTGACTTTCTTCCATGGAAATCAAAAGGAGAAATTTCTAATAATTGTATTGAATGTTTTTTCAATGCAGCTGAAATGAATAACGAAGGGGTAGGCAAGTTCGGTCCTAGAGAGCCGCAGTCCTGCAGAGTTCAGCTCCAATCCTAATCAAACACACCTGAACAAGCTAATCAATGTCTTCAGGATTACTAGGGCTATAGGAAGGTGTTTTTTTTCAGGGTTGGAGCTGAACTCTGCAGGACTGCGGCTCTCTAGGACCGAACTTGCCTACCCCTGGACTAAGGCTTTCAAGCTTCAAAAAACACTCACAAAAGCATCATTAAAGTGGTCCATACTGTGTGACTTTTGAACTATATTTAGAAGACTTAATATATAGAACCAAACCAGTTGTATAAACCACTTTTATGATATCCATTCACTTTCATTAAATGGAAATGGCAGAATATCCCACAGAAATTCCAATTTTTTGTTCCACTGGAGAAAGTCATACAGGTTTGAATATGAATATGAATACATAAGTAATTAATGACATTTTCATTTTTGGGTGAACGTTTCCTATAAACGTTAAATAATACACTACTGTTCAAATGTTTGGAGTCAGTAAGATATATCTTTTAAAAGGAATGCGTTACTTTTATTCAGTAAGTATGCATTAAATAGATCAAAAGTGACAGTAAATACATTTACAGTGATTTTTAAATAAATGCTGTTCTTTTCATCATCAAAAGAGTCCTGAATGAAACGATCAGTTTCCACAAAAATATTAAGCAGCACAAATATTTTCAATATTGCTAATAATAAGAAATGTTTCTTGAGCACCAAATCAGCAAATTAGAATAATTTCTGAAGGATCATGTGACAATGAAGACTGGAGTAATAGCTGCTGAAAAAATTAGCTGTGCCATTACAAGAATAAATTACGTTTTGAAATATATTAAGATAAAAAAAAGTTATTTTAAATTGTAATTATATTTCACAATTTTACTGTTTTTCATGTATTTTTGATCAAATAAATGCAGCCTTGATGAGAAATGAGACGTCTTTCAAAAACATTTAAAAAAATCTTATTGACCCCAAACGTTTGAATTGTGTATATTGAACTCATATTAATCTCTCTCTCTCTCTCTCTCTCTCTCTCTCTCTCTCTCTCTCTCTCTCTCTCTCTCTCTCTCTCTCTCTCTCTCTCTCTCTCTCTCTCTCTCTCTCTCTCTCTCTCTCTCTCTCTCTCTCTCTCTCTCTATCTCTCTTTATCACCAATGAGTCACTGTTTGAAGAGCTGGTTGAACAGGAATTGCTGAAAAAGGCAGATAATGTTAAACTAAAAGATTATCTAGGTATTTACAATCTGTTTATGATTCTCCTTGAAATACACATATTTTGAAAAAAAAACAAAAAAACGAAGCAAACACTTCTAATGGTTGTTTGGCCCTTTCATAAG